CTTCAACAATATCAGCCATATGTTGTGTTTGTGGAGGACGAATAGTTGCTGTTGTATCACGAGTTATTTTATCGGGTTGTGAAACTGGTGTAACAGCAGTATCTGTAGATGTAATAACTAAAAAACAATAAAGAAAAAAAATATTTTATATGAAATTTTGTTTTTCTTTTTTTGGAAAATTTAGTTTAATAGATTCCTGGAGCTAGAGCTTGTATTGTTGTTGATTCAGTTGGTTTTATTTGTGGAATTACAGATGATAGTTTACTTATTGAATCTGAACTTTTATTATCTAAACAAAAAAAAAAAATCAAAAAATTTTTTGAAATTTTATATTATTTACTTAATAAAGTTTTTGGATCATTTGATTCATTTATTGGATTATCATTTGAATTAAATTGTTGTGTACGTAACATACGATATGATGTGCCCATACTTGGTTGTACTGGATATTGTCGTAATAGTGCAGTTGATGGTTGTTCTTGTGATATATTTTCATCTTGACTATCATCCATAGATGTTTGAGTTTGTTTTGTTTCAACAAGTTTTCGTTTTGAACGACGATGATGATGATGATGATGATGACGATGTTCTTCTCCATGACCTTTTGAATGAGAAGCATAAGTTGGATATGAATTTAAATTCTTTGATTTTGATGAAATTGGATATGTATCAGATCTTAAAATAAATTCATTATTCTGTAATGAATCTGGTAATGGTACTAATTGTATATTTTCATTACCCAATATTGATTTAATATAACTAAATTAAGGTTTAAAAAAAACAAAGATTTTTGTTTATTTTAATTTAAGAAAATTACTTTTCAAGATCTGTATTTTTATCGAATGTTTGTTGTGATGATTTTTGTTGTTTAGGATTATTTTCATTATTTTTATAACTATTTATTAATGGTATATCAAGTGTTTGAAATATATCTGTTGATTGAATTGTAAGTTCTAAAGTTTCAGAATTAGTTGCAGCTTGACAAAGTATTTCTTTTGGATTTTTAGTCATAGATGATACTAACTGTCCATTAATAGCTAAAATATGATCACCTGGTTGAATATTAGCATCTGATGCAGGTGAATTACGTTCTACAGTAACAATATAAATGCCTGTTGGAAAATCTTCACCAATATATATTCCAAAACCACTATGATCTGGTCGTTTATGAAGTACAACATTTCGTGTTGGTAAATGTTGATTTGATGATGATGAATAAGAAACAGAATTTGAATGTACACTTGTTGCCATCAAAAAAAAATTTTTTTTTTCACGTTTGCTTTGTTTTTTTTTTGTGCTATCAAGGCTCTACAAATGGTATATACCTTCTATTAGTTACCATTAATAATAATTATTCAATGCACGCTTGGATGATCACACGTCATATTTCTTCTTTTTTTTTTTTTTTTTATTCATAGTTTTTTTCTTTCTCTTTCGACCGTACTCTTTTTCTCTTACAGAATCATATGAAACAAAAAAAAAATCTAGCTGTTACGTCAATATAAAATAGGGTAATTATCCAACAAAATTATGTTTACAATAGATTTTTATTATTCAAACAGATATATATAGAAAAAAAAACCCAGTGCATATTGATATCATCGTCATTAATCAATTTACTGAATGTTGTGATGCTTCATTACAAACTATGTATAAATTTTGCTTGAAAATAGATGGCTCATATATAAGATCGATAGTTAAAGAAAGATGAACGATGGCACTATGATGAAAATATTTGGATATTGTCGATCAAGTAAAAAAAATCGATTATATAATGGTTGTTTAATTACAAATGACATTTTATCATCTGACATCAGTTAAGAAACAAAAATGAGCAATTAGTTTTGTGTCAATGTCTTTTTTCTACATAATTTTTTTTTTCTTATAAACATAATGACATTTGATAGACATAAAAAGAAAAAAAGACAATGTTTTATGAAACATCTGTTGCTTGTAAAATGATCATTGTATATTCTTTATATAGAAAAAGAAAACAAATATATATGTATATAATATGAAACGATTAGTTTTGTTTTTCTATAAACTAAGTACAACTAATATTTTTATGTTTTTTTAGTACGTATATGAAAAAAAAGAGAAGTTCATTTGTTAGATCAATCTCATGAATTATTGAACGATCTTTATAAGATAAAGATTTTATTAATATTACAACAAAATGAAATACCTATGTAAAAAATATTATATAGAGATATTCAATCAAAGATAGACAAAAAAATTAATTATATTATGAGTCATATTAATGTTAACAGTGAGGGAAAAAAAACGCATTTTTTATAACCTTGACAATAACAATCGAAAAATTTTCTTTTCAACGAATACGTTTTGTTTTTTTGCGCAAGATATTGTTCTGTATTAATTTTTCAGTAAATAAGCATATGATAAAAATGAATAGATTTCTAATTTTTGATGAAATGAACAATTTATAAACTTGTTCATTTTCTTATCAGCATTTTATTTATTACTATTTTCAAATACTACAAATATAATCTTGAATAATAATAATCCAGTCAATAAATTTTGAAACATAAAAGATCATTTATATCTATTTTAGGAGAGATAACAAGACTTTATCCTTGTCATCATCTTACGATTTCAATCTCTATATAAATGTTTTGGTAATGTCGTACACATTGGTTTTAATTTTACAATTAATGACACTGTATTAAATATATTCTCTGTCTTGTTACAATAGAATTTTTTATTGTATTGCATTTATAATCATAATTTTTACTTAAAAAGACTGTTCTGAATATTGGAACTATTGTGATCATTTTTAGATGTGAATGACAAGTATGATTACAAATTGA